GAACAGCAGGCATTAAATACTGCCCAAAAGAAGCCCAAGTGTTGGTTCCGCTACGTGGACGACACATTTGTAATATGGAGCCACGGCGAAAAGGAGCTTCAAATCTTCTTGGCGCATCTCAATTCCATTAACAATAAAATAAAATTTACCATGGAGACAGAAAAGGACGGCAGGTTGGCATTCTTAGATGTGCAGGTAGAAAGGCGACCAAATGGAAAATTGGGTCATAAAGTTTATCGAAAACCCACTCACACGGAACGTTACCTGAACAAATTATCTAATCACCATCCGAGACAGAAAATGGGGGTAATAAAAACCTTAATGACAAGGGCTAATCGGATTAGCGAACCCAAGTACCTAGGTGAAGAGATTAATCACTTGACCGATTCCCTGAAAAATAACGGATATACCACCTCTGAAATACAAAAAGCTATGAAAAATAGAAGATCTAAGACAAGAGATACGACAAAGGAACCTCAAGGGAATGTATCATTTCCTTTTATTAAGAACGTCACAGACAGGATCGGTAAACATTTAGAACGACACAACGTTCGGGTCGTCTTTAAACCAACGACTACAATCAGACAAAGACTCAGATCTGCCAATGATACAAGGGACGCCTTTTCTTCACCAGGGATATACCGCATTCCGTGTTCCTGTGGCTCGGTATATATAGGTACCACAAAGAGAAGCATTGAAACTAGGCTAAAGGAACATAAAAGGAACTGCCGGCTTGGACACACGGAAAAATCAGCAGTGGCAGAACATGCTTTTGACAAAGGTGACCATCGTATCATGTTCAAAGACACGCAGGTACTGGACAAAACACCACATTTTTATCCACGTCTTTTCAGAGAAGCTATTGAAATTCAAAAACATCAGAATAATTTCAATAGAAAAGAAGAAGGTCTCAATATCAGTAAAACATGGACTCAGGTCATCAACAAAACAACGTGTTTACCCAGACAAGCTCAACCCAAGCCCGCCACCGAGGTCACGCCCACTACAGCGCGCTTAAATACGGCAGATCTTCCAGTCAACCAACCAGTCATCGGAGAGCAGTACGGAAGAACACTTCGACCGTTACCGCATCGCCGCTCTTGAAAATGTCTACCGCAGTTGTAGACGAAACGTCGAGTTTAATCTCGGGACCACGGCTCAAAAGCCCGGAAATATTTAGTAATGTAGTTTCTGGCCGTGAAAGCCTAACATCTTTTTCTTATTCTTTGCATAGTTCCCGATTTTATGCACCTATGAAATCCGAAGAATCCAAACCGTAAAGCAGGGTAGGGAAGAGTTAGTAACTTTTTCATTTTCATGAAAGTTATTGTTGAGTGCCTATAGTTACTTTATTAAGCATTCTCTGAGGTAGCGCCGATTATTGATACTGGGTGATCCTTCTTTAAATATTCTTAATTACAGTGAAGGTTGAAAAGCCTAAGTCTCTGGAAGATGTCGAGTCATGTTTTACGAAGGCTTCACTGTAATCGATAATACAATAGCACTTCGTGCAGGCGTCCTCGCACTAGTTTCATATGAAATAGAGAAATTGAGAAGGCTCTAAGAATTCATTGGTTGTAAGGAATGTAAATTCGGTTCCAATACATTAGGAGCACCGGAGGCAGTGGTCTAACCAACATAAGCATTTAAAATTTCCATCGTCTTCACATCTTCAGTAACTTTCGGGTTCTCCCTTCCCGGTAGTGAAAAGAAAGCCAGGCGTTTATTCTGCAGAAAAATTCAGCTTTTTAGGGGCTTTGAGAAATATTATGATACGATCACAGAGTTTATGGCACAATGTAAATTAAAAATCATTCTAAAATTTGACAGTTAAACTGTGTTAAAAAATATATCAATTATTTTTTTCTCACCTCAATTTCAATTATTTTTTTAAATGCTATGAGTCGACCAAGTTCAAACAGGAGGAAACATTAAGGAAAAATTACAATTATATTAGAGAAAAGAAATGTGAAGAAAACCTTGCAAGTTCCATTGAAATACCTCCTCAGGTCTCAATTTCTAAGTCGCACGCCGCTGAAAGTGGCCCTGGAAAATAACGGGACAGGATTTTCGAAGCTTCCTTCGTGAGCGCCGCGATAAAAAGGGGAAACTGCCACGGACAGAATACAGACGAGTAAATTATGTTTGTGATTTTCTATTGATCTGCCTCCTTCAAAGATGCTCGCTGGATTTATTTAATATCCTCCGAGAGAATCTCGAGTGGATTCAAAAAACATAATCTCGTTGAATTGCTCCCGAACGTAAAGATATTTTTCATATTTTTGGCGATTTTTTAGGACAATGTTGGCAACTCTGTAATCATCATCAAGAGGTCATTTTTTTACCTCATTTTCTTTTCGTTGGTTATATATGTCCCACAGACCATCTCGGAATAGTTTAACCAAAAAAAAATGTCAATGTCTTTTTCAGGGCAAGTAGTAACCTTGTGTCACTTCAGCATCCTCTACCCCATCCACCTACTTCGGTGTCCAAATAATATATAATAATAAGAATAATAATAATAAAGGTCTTTATTTAAATTATATATAATATAATAATAATAATAATAATAACAAGATAACATTTTGGCAAAAAGGCGAGATTCAGTCTACTAAAGATTAGTATACCGTTCTATCTAATAAAATAAAAGAGAAAAAAAGTACGTGAATTTCAATTTTATAAGTTGTAACTTAAACAAAAAAAACGATTAGCGGTCCCTCGATAATCAAACACAAAGTAAAAATAATTAAAGCAATATTTCATTACATGTAGCGCACACAGTTACCTAGAAATTTCCTTAATTTGCTAATTCAATAGTCTCTAAGAAAGGTTAGTTTTGAAGCGTTTTAGGTTGCTTAAATTTTTGATTTTATTTGGCAAATTATTTAAACATGAAACAATATTATATGAAAAGAAGCGTGTACGTCACAGCGAGAGCTTATTTTATTAGAAAAGGTATGGTATAAAGAACGAATAAATACTATATTTTTCATATTTAGCCAATTAAGTCTTTGAAGTGTGTGACTAACTTGAGACTTGAGTTTCGAAGCTTTTGAATTCGGCGTTTATCAAAATAGTTTAAACAAGGGCCATACACTGCATCCCGGTGGCTTAGTTGAGACAAAACCAAAGACTACCACACAGCATTGTTTTATGTTTTATGTTTAAAAATTCACGATTTTGATATATACATTTTAACATTAAATATGCCTTCTCTCTCTCTCTCTCTCCCTGTCATCCTTTCGGCCAAAAATGAATGCACAATGCTTAGTGGACATCTCATAAACTATGTTCAAGTCATAGTTTAGGACTGCAACAACTTGACTACAGAAATCTTCTAAAACTAGAGCAGTATACAATAAAGAAAGGTGGTCCTAACATAGATCCCTGAGGTATAGCTTTATTAACATGTAAGAATGAAGAAGTTACACCATTATATGTTACCGCTTGAGATCGGTATTATAGGTATGAAGATAAAAGATTAATTGCGTTTTCTGACAAACCAATAAAATTGAACATTGAAATAAACATTTCATGAATAAGAGTATCAAACAGTTTCGAATAGTCTAAAAGAGTTAGTAGTGTTAGCTTGTCTTCATCCCCTAAATATATCATCGGTTATATGTAATAGAGCTGTAGTACAACTATGTCCAGCTTTATATACTGATTGTTATTATCTATCTATCTATTATCAAAGAAACTTCCATAGGCAACTGCAATACTTTTTATAAAACTTCTGGATTCCTCATGCGTCGGTTTTTGTTGAGTAGAACTAGCAAACGTTTCGCCAATCATCCTGTTGCTTTCCTCAGAGCTTGACTGAAACTGTTTCAGATTGAATATTTGAAGAGTTAGAAACGTAAATGATGAATGAAGAACTGAATTTAATTACCAAACGAAAACTTGTAGAGTTGTTTAACAGACGCCATCGCATTATTTCAATTTCTGAAAGCAAAATACTTCGTTATTTTCTGAAAAAGGGACGCACAAACACGTCAAGTTTCTGGTGACAGCGTATAAACTGATATCGATCCGAAAGTTTTCTATAAATATTTCCCGACGCGGTTTGATCGGCAAATAATAATAGCACAGTATTAAGAAATAAACAGAGACCACTTTTCTTTTCTTATTCTAGTTGGCAGAATTGTCACGTAATTAATTATTAACACAAGAAATATCTGGGTACTGCAATTTCGGAAGAAGGAACAACAAAGATAGTACCATACTGGAAAAGGCGATATGCATATTAAATTCAATGTTCTGGTCCAAATAAAATCAGATATAATGGCATGTAATAAGAAACAAATAGGAAAAAATCAAATACACCAAAGCGAATGGGTTTGGCGTTTTAAGGTCACGAATACATTTAATATTTGGCGAGAGTATCTTCAAGTCACTATTAACTACCATAAATGTTATACAGCTATACAATAAGGAACAAACCACATAGAGAAGGTTGAATAAAAAATGAAGCTAACAAAACGTAGAGCTAATATGCGGTTAGTTTCGAGATCTGCCACGGGTCGCTGTCCAAATACGATAATTGTTAATCCCGTACGGATACGTAGTTATGGCAACCGTGTAAATATTTCAGAAAGAATGAGAGAAGAAATAGAGAGAGAGGACTGTGTCGTGTGTCTGCATTAAAGTGCTACGATGAAATTTCTCTCTGCCGTCCCCTTCCAAAGGGATGTCAAAGGATTTATGAGTATCGTTAATGCGATAATTAAATCGAAGCGCACTTATAAAACATGGCGCCTGCAGCTCGGTTCTTTATAAAAAAAAAAACGATCTCTCTTGATGGCTTCCATTTAACGCGAATTGAAAAGAGAATTGCTTTAATAATGGAAGTATCGAATTATAATTATCTTTTTCTCTCACGGCTTTATTTAATTTCGACAGTATTAAACCAAAAAATAATCTCTCGTTCCTGTCTCACTCCGGGGGCGGCATTGAAACCCGTCGCAATTTGGATAATAGTAATAAGGTAAAGTGCTTACCGGTAACGAGATTGGCATGGTGGAATTGGCACACAGCGTCCGCCTCGTACCACGAAATGCGGTCCCGAAAATAGCGATAGAAAACTGGAAATCCCTCCTCGGGCAGCATCCACGTGTTGGTGATATTAACCTGCAACAAATACGTCATAATATATGTTTGGTAGCGACTGGTTAAATGTCAGTGATTTCCAACGAAATCTGTTTATCAACGTTACATCCGTTACATCATAATTGCTCTTCAGTTGAATCTAGCATTCAGGTTGAAGCTAAAATAAATAGCGTGAATGTCTGACAAATGTGTTGCCAACTGCAGACAGTCAACGGAAATCTGAAGAGCGACGTGTAGACTACAAAACACAATGCGGTAGATCTGGCCGTTAAAAGAACAAATCTCACACACAAGAAAAACCATTTGCGGTTTAACATTGCCCGGTAAATCGCACGGAAGTGGTTAATGAATCGGTGCCATCTTCAGATTTCCGCCAGAAGCTCGAGAAACGGAAATTAAAAATAAGTTGCTTATAACGAGATTTGGCTCGATATCGCCTTCCGACGGTGAGAAATACCGATCGGCTTTCTTCTTCAAAAGGCCACAGTTCACATTCCGCGTTTTGGTTTTGAGCGGCCATTTGCGGCTGTTGTAAATTTTCTACGGAATGGCGAGAGAAAATGTACGTTTTTGCAATCGCTTATTAAAGTTTAATCGGAATAGACATGGCTTATACTTAATAATTTTGTAAATGAACACTACAATGCAGTGATAACAAATACTTAAAATAAAAAAATAATTTCTATATTGAAAAATTTAAGCTTAGATTTAAAAATGTATCGTTCCACCCATCATCATCATACTACATCATCTTGTCACACATTCAGGATTGTCTGATGCAAGTACGATATGGTCTTCAGCAAATTGCGTCCCTAGGTTCTATTCCCATGTCTTGGCATCGTCTATGCCAGTTCTTGGCTTCTTCAGAGCTTAACTTAACTGAAACAGTTTTAACTAAGCTTTGAAGAAGCCAACGGGATGATTGGCGAAACGTTAGCAAGTTCGTCGAGAAATTTCTTTGAAGCTCTCTGAAGAGAAAGAGAGTATTTTGATACCGAGTTTCAGAAAGAGAGAAAAAACCGATCCCCAAAATTATCGATGCCCGATGAGTGCAATTCTGGAAGTATTTACTAAAATTTTACGAGAATAAGGAAAGTCTACAAGGATATGTGAAGTACAGCCAGAGAGTTTAATTAAGCAGCTTCTATGTGCTTTATTGATCTCACCCAAGCGTTCGATAGGAACATTCACCCCAATATAATTAGAGTTATCGAAAAACTGTACCGATAATTATACCTTTACGAGAACGGCAAACAAATTCATCAATAAAATACCTGTGGCAAGCGGCATCAGAAAAGTGGATAGCCTAAGCAAAAACTTGTTCAATATCATAATGGACGAAACCATAGACGAAGTAAACCAAGCCAGGGAGGGCCAGGGAGGACAGCGAATGGAAGACAAAGAAATTAAAATAATATGCTATACTGATGATGCAGTAACCATCTCGGAAGACTAAAATAACTTACACAAGCTAGTATATAAATTCCAACAAATGGCGAAAACGTACTACTTGCAAATACAGGACCCAGCCTAACGTAAGAAAAAGAAGAAGAAGAAGCTCTATGAGAATTCATTTCCAGGATTTTATTAATGTGGCATTTATTTGTTTGACTTTCCAAACCTTTTCAACTAGAACGTCTTTAGTTGCAAGATAATAGAAATATGATCTACGCCCTGTGAGAAATCCCGCCTATACTTCGTGATATTAAGTAGCTTTCCATATACTCTTCTCAGAGTAACAGTTAATATATATAGTTCTCACAATAATCTTTTCCCCCTTCGCATGGAACTCGAAGCTTCTTTCCATATTTCCGCTATCGGTTCTTCATTTACAAATCATTGAAAGAGTCGGGCAAGCATGACTATAAGTTTCGGTGTTCCGTTTTTCATTCTTGTTTAGTTTATTCCTTGCTGAGCGTATTATTAAAATATCCTAAGCACATTTTCGACATCAGCAATAAACAAAGCAAGCTTCAGACTTAATTCGACGAAAGGACTCCCCGACTGTGGTTTATAAACGAACGAACACCAACGATACGGAGACGATCTCGTCTCACCCCTCCGAACTATTTATTTAGCCGAAAGCGAGGACGAACGGAATAAATATACCGCGATACTTATTCCTCTGGCAAAACAAACTACCGCCGTCAACTCGCCTAAGATGTTTTAATTAAATAAATTACCGCGGCGTTAACATAATGACGCAAATAACGACTGAATCTGGAGGCTGGATTATATGGTGTACACAGTTAAATGCCGGCCGCGCTCCGAAGAGATCGACTGTTATTTGTTTGCCCATGAAAAACTGGGCGTCGCGTCGGGGACTTTTTTGCCTTAGTTTTTCCCGATTCTGCCATCGGCGGCAGAATAAATTGCGTAGCAACCAAATGGCGCCTTTAAATAGACGCTTGGCACCGCTGTGTTAAAACAAAAAAATGTGGGGTGGAATGAAATGAAAAAAAAATATTTTTCAAACATTAAAATCACGGTTAAATATTACCTACTGAGGTATTTAATCCAATGGGGCATGTTCCATAATTAAAAAGCACATTATTTAAATGTGGTATTCATTTAGTTAAACTGCGACTAATTACACAGATTTGTACAGACGTAGACTTGATGAAAAACTAATTGAGTTCAATTTTAATAATTTAACAGACACTTACGAACACGTGAAGAAGAGCATTAAAGAGGCCGCTTATGAAGCATTAGGAGAGGAAGACGGAAAGAACAAAAAATATACAGAAGAACTTAGTGAGGAAGCTATTGCAGCTATTCAGGAAAAAAAGCGCTTACACCAAAAATGGCTCTGTACAAATTCGGGAGAAGACCTACAGAAATATAAAGACAAAAACAGAGAAACAAAAAAACTAATTAGTAAAGAAAAAAATGAAAAAATAGACTCTGCCAAAACATACAACAGTATACAGGAGGTACAAGATGCTCGGAATCATGGAGAACAATAAGATCTGTCAGATCAAATACCAAAGAGAAAGTCAATATACAGTTTATCAAAGAAACCGAATGGGAAAATTATTATCAACAACTACTAACGGAGACACGACCACAATTCTGGCAACAACTAACATACCAAATACAACCTAACAACAATCTAAAGCATGTAACAATAGAAGAAAAAGAAATAATAAAAGCCATTAAAGAATTAAAAAACAAAAAATCACCAGGGCCAGGGGGGATAGTGAATGAACTTATTAAGTATGGGTCGGACAAATTATTCAGAATATTGAAAAACATGTTTGAAAGAGCAATAAATGGAGAAACGTTACCAAGGGAGTGGAATACGGCATATATAAGCTCTATTTTCAAGAAGGGGGATCGTAGGGAGCGTACCAAGTACAGAGGAATTAGCATTATATCAAGCATGGGAAGACTATATGGAAAGATAATCAAAAACAAAATAGAAGACCAGATAATAGGGAAAATAGGTGAAGATCAAGCCGGTTTCACGGCAGGGAAGTCATGCGTTGATCAGATATATACGGTAAGGCAGACTATCGAAAAGAAAAAAGCTAAAAACAGAGACATCCATTTAGCATTCATAGATATAAGAAAAGCTTATGACTCTATACCCAGACAACAACTTTGGAAAGCAATGGAAGATATTGGGATAGAAAGAGAACTAATAAAAGCCGTAGATACAATGTACAAGAACAACGAGTTGTCGGTTAAAATAGGTAATAGGTACACAAATCGATTCACAACATCAAAGGGCCTACTACAAGGATGCCCTACATCAACAACGTTGTTTAAAATCTATCTTGAGAGGACGCTAACACAATGGAAAATAAAATGTCAAGGTATGGGAGTCCCAGTACGCGACGACCACTTATACACCCTAAGCTTTGCCGACGACCAGGTGGTCATAGCCCAGGATGAAGACGACTTGAGTTACATGCTCAGAAAGCTGAAAGAGGAATATGAGAAGGTAGGTTTGGAAATAAACTTCGAAAAGACAGAATATCTAACAACAAAAGAAGGGGAAATCGAAGATTTAGAAATAGATGAAAACACAACCGTAAAAGCAACAGACAAATTTAAATACTTAGGGTGTATAATAACAAAAGATGGATCAACAGAAGAAGAAATCAAATCTAGACTAGGTCAGGGTAGAACATGTATAAAACAACTGAACTCCATTATATGGAACAAGAAATTAACAAAGAAAACAAAAACAACAATATTTAAGACAATAGTAGAAAGTATAATTACATACGGAGCAGAAACCTGGCTATTGAACAAAAAGAACAAATCTAAAGTAACCGCCGTCGAAATGGAATATTGGAGAAGGTGTTGCCAATGAACACGCATGGATAGAATACGTAACGCAGAAATCAAGAGGCAAATGAATGTAGAAAAATACTTATTAACTACAATAGCAGAAAAACAGCTTAAATGGTATGGTCATGTCAGACGAAGTGACGATAGACGGTGGATAAAGAAAATCACAGAGTGGAGCCCTATGGGACGTAGAAAGAGAGAGAGGAAGACCCAGAAGATCGTGGAGGGATGAAATAGATGAAGCCATGGAGGAAAGGGGGTTGGAAGACGGAGATTGGAATGACAAAGATGAATGGAGAGTCTGGTTGAGAGAGGGAAAACGGCGCGAGCTGTAACAAACCCCATATATATATATATATATATATATATATATATATATATATATATATATATATATATATATATATATATATATATATATATATATATATATATATATATATATATATATATATATATATATATATATATATATATATATATATATATATATATATATATATATATATATATATATATATATATGGATAGTAAAACATTTAATTGATTTAATTAAATGTCCACTAATACTACACACTACAGAACCTTCAAAAGCAATCTACTTTCAACTAAACAGCAATAGAAAATAGACATGGTTATGGTTATTAATTGTCTGGTTACTTTGATGCTCCAGAACTTCGACTGACAAAATCTATTTTCCGTTCAATAGTAAGAAATTTTTT